AAAGGGTTTTGAACACTGTGAAACATGTTCAGATTTCTCTTTACAGTATTAACAGAAAAACTTGTTAATGAGAATTCATTCAGAAAAAAATTTTAATTTACTTATTTGTGACATTAAGGTTTGATATGTAAATAGTGACAGATTACTTGGAAATAAAAGGTTTGTTCTATGGCAAAATAGAGAGAAAGCAAATGGCATTTTTGGTATACTCATTATTCAATGATCTGTCTTCCCTAATAGCAATTAGACTTAAATTGATTGTCCCCTTAACTTTTGTGCAATTATTTCTTTTTAAAAATTTTTACAGATAATTTTATTTTTTAAAATTAATTCATTTATTTATTTTTACATTTTTCTACATTTGCTTTACATATCAAAAAAATTTTGCTCATACACAATAGTGGTTTGTTTTTTTTTTTTTTGAGAGGTTTTTGTTATAGGGCACGTGCTCTTGTCAGAGAGACAGAGAAACAGCAAGATAGAAAGTAAGAAATCACCCCCAATAGGGTTGGCCACACTGCAATCCCTTCTCCTCCATTCTCCTCTTGGGATCTTGGGCACACATGCATATGCACCCTGCATGAGTTTAAGCCACCGGGTCTGAGACTCGAACCGCAGTCGACTACATGGGAGTCCAGTGACATAGCCATTGCACTAACTGCTGGTCTCAATGCTCCATAGTTCTTAACAGTTAATAAACAACTTTCAAAATTTCAAAATACTGAATTTTAAAGAAAATGTTCAAAATATTTCTTATAATTTTGTATAATTTGCTTGTGACTCTATACCAGTAGAAACGATATGATTTTAAATATTTTTGAGAAAATATTTACATGTCAACTACTCAAGTTGTTGAAAAGCAAATGCCCAGCACACTAGTCCCACATAAACCTCATTTCAGCCATGTCTACCAAGTATTCTGTGATCTACCATCTGTTAGCAAAGATCAGTCTCTTTTTCGTCCTTCAAAGACTTTCTCAAGATAATCCTCTAGTGTGGTTTCTCTTTTGCAATCTCTACTGATCACAATGCTGGGCTGGAAAAGTCCAGGTTATTTTATGCTATAAATTCCTTTATATAACTTCTCTAATCCTCTCTGCCAGGCAGAACTACCTACGGTGCCAGGCCATCTGTCTAAGAACTTCTGTTGGCTTACTTGAGATTCACCTTAGTTCCATAGTTTTCTGATTGATCTTCAGATATGACATTCCAGTCAAAGCCCTGTCCAATGAGTACTTCCAATTTCTGATTCAATGCAACAAGCATTATTGAACTTATGCAAATAACCCTTCTGCCACAAAATAAGAATATTCCCAAATATTTCCAATTCAAGAGGGGTCAAGAAGAAAGAAAAGTTTAAATCCTGGAAGTTAGCATTTAACATTGTTATTGATATTTCTTGTCCCTAGTACAATTATTTCTTAATTTTCACTACACAAGGCCTGTATTACAGCTTCTAATATGGATAATATGACACATTTTATTCATTTTAATAAGCTGGTCATGGTATCACAGTGAATTTCCTTTTATTTATTTATAATTTTTGTTTACATTTAATTGTTTTACATATTTGTGCTTTTTAAAGCATGAATGCAGTATGTAACAATCAAATCAAAGGAATTATCTTATTCATCAGTTTCAATAAATAATATTACATTATGTTGTATGCCTTTGATTTTTATTGTACTAGCTTTTGGGAGATATATTATTATTTTTATTTTTAATTTACAAATTGAAATATAGTTGTATATATTTATGGGATACAAAGTGATGTTTTGATTTATAAATATAATGTGGAATAATAAAATCAAGGTATTGAATAGTTCCATCTTCTTGCATAATCTTTAATTTTCGTTGCGAGAATATTTGAAATGTAACAATTTTGAATTATATGTTGTTATTTATTATATTCGCCATGCTGTGTATTATATCTTAAAGTAAAAACAAAACAAAACAGAAAAAAAATGTATTACTCTTGTGCAATTAAAACTTTGTACCCTGGGACCTATAGTTGGCGTAATGGCTAGGTGGCTGGACTCCTACTTAGTTGACTATGGTTTGAGTCCCAGACTAGGTGGCTTAAACTCATGCTGGGCATGTGCGCATATATTCCCAAGATCCCAAGAGGAGAATAAAGCAGAAGGGATTATGGTGTGATTATCCCCCCTGGGGGGGGGTGATTTCTCACTTTCTGTCTCTCTGTCTCTGTTTTTCTGGCGAGCACACACGTCCTATAGCAAAAACCTCTCAAAAACAAAAACAAAACAAACCACTTTGTACCCTTTGGCCATATTCTTCTCATTTCCCTTACCCCTCCAGCCTCTGGTAATAACTGTATTACTCTGTAGAGTCCCACCACTGGTATATTTCCAAAGGAAATGAAATCAGTATGTCAAAGAGTTATTTGTACTCCCATGTTTATTTCAGCAAAGTTCACAATTGCTTAGATATAGAACTGACCTAAATGTCTATCATTGAATAAATGAACAAAAAATGTATATGTACACAAAATGAATAAAGGAGATGTATATATACATAATATAACACTATTCGGTCATAAGAAAAAATAAAATTCTGCCTTTTGTGATAATATGAATGAGCCTGGAAGACATTATATTAAGTAAAATAAATCAGGAACAGAAAGACAAATGTTTCATGATCTCACTCAGATGTGGTATCTAATGAACTGATCTCATAGAAGTAGAGAATGGTGGTTACCAGAGGCTGGAGTGTTTAGGTAAGAGGTGGTGGGGAGATGAGGATCAAAAAATATGTAATTACAGTCAGAGAGTAGAATAAATTTTAAGAGATCTATTATATGGTGAATTGATTATATATAATAACTATGTATCTTTGGAAAAAGAAGAGTGGATGTTAAATGTTTTCAAGCATAAAAATGCTAATTATGTGAGGTAACACATTTGTTAATTAGCTAGATTAAATCATTGTACAACATGTGTATATACTTCAAAACATTATGTTGTGGAGACCAGCAGTTAGCATAATGGCTATGTCGCTGGACTCCCATGTAGTCAACCGCAGTTCAAGTCCCAGATCCGGTGGCTTAAACTCACGCCGGGCGCGTGTGCGTGCGTGCCCAAGATCCCGAGAGGAGAATGGAGGAGAAGGGATTGTGACATGGCCATCCCCCCTGGGGGGGTGATTTCCTGCTTTCTGTCTCTCTGTCTCTCTCTGTTTGTCTGGCGAGCACACGCGCCCTATAGCAAAAACCTCTCCAAAAAAAAAAAGAATGAAAAAATTATATTGTGCACAACAAAAACTTAAATGTTATCTGTTAATTTAAAATAAAATAAAATGAAATATGTAAGAATGTTATTGAACAGGATATGATTTAAATAGTTCTGTATATAAGGAATTATCTGGCAGTAATATTAGAAAGTAAGAGCCTATAAGCACCATGGGAAAGATATGTACTATAATGTTGCATATTACACATACGTTTTTGGTTTTGCTTTGAAAATTTTATCTGTTTATTTCTTCCATGAGCATGGGAGACAGAGAAAGGGAAATAGCTCCCCCAACAGTCTTGACACCACCATCCACTCCCATCTTTCGGCCAACCCCAGATCATAGGCCAGCTGACTGACGGACTCAGAGAGGTCTGTGGAGTGAAACTGGGAACCTGTCCATGTGGGATTGCCTTGCACAGTGTCACATTTTATCACTACTCCACCATCTGGTCCCTGAGGCGTTGTTTTTATGATGGGAGTCTGAGTGGTATCTGTAAGACAGTGTGTGGAATTTTAGTGTTAAGAGAGAGCATGAGTGGAGGTGAAGGCAGATCTCTCATTATACTTAAAGAGAATGAAGTGGGAACAAAGGTAACATTTAAGGACTTTTCAATGACAAAGCATCCAAACTCTCATTTCCATATCTTTCCCATCCACTCACTGGATACTATGATGTTACATTATTTTAACATTTTATTGTATATAATTATTTTATTTATGTATTTAATTAATTAATTACATTTGACTAAAGAGGGACAGAGTAAGAGAGAGATGGAGAAAGCAGGCAAGAAAACTGCCAGGCCCGGGACTCAAACTGCGGTCAGCCATGTGGAAGCCAGTGCCCTTAACCACCACGCCACTTTCCGGCCCCTATTTTCACATTATTTGTTCTTTGGTGATATGCATTTGAAGTCACTTGGTCTCAGCAACTCATTTCAGTAACTGTTGCAATATTACTGATTTCTGTTTTTTAACAGCTTCATTTTTTTTCCTTTTAATTTTGGGAAGATTCAGTTTACTTCCTATTTTGCCATGTCTCTTTTCTTTTCTACAGCCATACTAACTTTATCTTCATTGTAATTTGCTAACTTTCTGAATTAGTGAAGCTGTTCACATACATCTCCAGTACCATATAAATACAGCTGGAAAAGACCTTTGAAGGCACCATGAACAAAGGCATTTTTCTTCTTTACTCATAGAAAGAGATCAAACTAAGAACACACTCTTAGATTTCAGCCCCCCTTTTACTATTTCGTGTGTTTTCATGAATATATTCCCATTTTTGTTTATTTCTTTATGTGCTAGGTGAGATGAAGACCTATAGGAAGTAAAATGAACTATTTCCCAATAAACTGGAATAAAGGACTTTTTGAGGGGCCAGATTTTCTGGGTTTTTATTTGCTCAACCAAACACAAAATTTGTGCCACAATGGCGTTTCTAGGCTATACCACTTTGTTGGCTGCCATGAATTCCCCTTCAGAGGAATTACTATTGCAGCACTTAGTGTGTTTATGACGCCATTCAAAAAACATGGGAGCCTGTCAAATGTTCATTTTTGTTTCCTGCTGTAATGGTCTACTATGACATGAAAACTTGACTTCAATTCCTTGAATGTTTTTAAGTAAAATACACCAATAGATGAAGCAATTTATTAAATGTAACACCTTAAATCTTTCCAAAACATAGCCACACCTAACCTGCAAGATTTTGTGACTTCACTAAATTAAAAAGAAATAATAATATAAACTTTAAACATGTTTCTTTAACACTTTTGACAGTGAATCTATGACCTGCTTATTTCTCAGGCTGTAGATAATTGGATTCAATAAAGGAATTATGACAGTGTAAAATAGAGAATCCATCATATCTTGATCATCTGCTTCTGAAGATGCAGGGCACACATACATGAAAAGAAGAGGACCATAATACAAAGACACAGAAAAGAGATGGGCTCCACAGGTGGAGAAGGCTTTCCTAATATTTTTTACAGACTTTGTTTTTAGGACTGTAAAGAGAACAAATGTGTAAGAAACAAGAACAGTCAAAATGCTGAATACCTGAATTGAACCAGATGAAATAAAAACCATTAGAAAATTCATAGATGGATCAGTACAAGACATTTTAAACAATGGGATGATGTCACAGTAAAAGTGATGTATTGTGTTGGAATTACAAAAGGTTAATCTGAATAAAAATAGGTCATGAAATAACGCATGAAGAATGCCACACACAAATGATGAGACTATCAGCCGGGTGCTTAGTCTGTTGGTCATAATCACTGGATAAAGTAAGGGTTTGCATATGGCTACATAGCGATCATATGCCATTGCTGCCAAGAGAAAACATTCTGTGGTTCCACCAAAAGCAAAGGAAAAAAACTGTATCATGCATTCAGAGAGAGAGATAATCTTACTCTTGGCTAAAAAGTTGACCAGCATCTTTGGGGTCACTGTGGACGAGATCCATGCATCTACAAAGGCTAAACTCCCAAGGAATAAGTACATGGGGATGTGAAGGTGAGGGTCATTCCAGATGAGAAGAATCAGACCAAGGTTCCCCATGATAGTGATAAGATATATGACTAAGAACACTAGGAATAAGGGTATTTTCCACTCTGGTTTGTATGTAAGTCCTGTGAGAACAAATTCTGTTAGCAGTGTTGCATTTTTCCTTTTCATGTCCTTGCTGGCTGTTCCCTGAAATGAAATGAGATAAATATAAAAGAGTATTCACTAGGCTATATAAAGTAAATACTGGGTGGAGGAAGTAGATACAAAATCATATCCTTATGAGAATAACTTTAGATTTTATTTTATATGACTGTAATAAATGGGAACTATTTTGAAGGTTAAATAAATGGAATCATTTCAATTCCCTAAATGCAGTAAAATAATCTGCTTTTTAGAGTGCTCCCAGGGAAAATGAAACACATGTAAAGTACCTCGTCAATAAGAAGATGGCATTGGGAGTGATAAGTAGAACAGAGATAGATTCACAAGAGTTCAGAATGTAAAGTCACTAGAAACCTGCTGTTGTATTTGATGTGAAAGTGATCAGCAAAACCAAGTGGAGTCTCTTGGTAATTAAGCAGATGGTCATCCAAAACTGAGACTGAGAATTCTAATACAAATGTAAATACAAATTTGTAGTGTGAGCTTCCTCTGAAAATCTGGGTTATATGCACTTAGTCATGTAATTCTACCAGAGTATTAGAATTTAACAGAGTAATTAATGACTTAAGATTCACTGAGGAAGTTGAAACCACAGAAATAGATGAGCTAGCCACTAAAGAGTATACCAAGAAAAAAGGAACATAGGGAAAAAATTGAGGAAGTTGTAGTAAAGAGGTTATAAAATGGATGCATGGCCAATATCTGAGCTTTTTTGTTTGCCATATGAGTCTTGGTGGCAGACAGAGGATTTGACTTCGATTTGTTTGATTAAAAACTTACCTAACTTAGATCTGGATATAGAGAGATGGAGACAAAAACATATAAACGAACAAACAAAAATCAGTGGCAAAGGCAGTCAGGACAAAGATATCAAGGCTTTGGTCCATGTATCCTACATCTACCACAATGGCATTGGTAATGGAGCTGTGTCATTGTTCAACTGCAGTGTAGCCACCCTCCCATGAAGCTAGTTGACTGGCTGCCTTGCTTCCTTTTGTCTCTGCCATTTTTTCTAGTTGATTCCTCCAACTTTCCTACCATTTCTATGTCAGAGCTAACTTCCATTCATGGCATTTATTTGCTGCTGCAATCCAAAACTTTCGATGTCTAAAAATGAGACAAAGCAGAAATCAGGAAAGATACTGAGCAGAGAGTTCGAGAGAGGGAATCTGGAAAGCTGAGTGTTGTGGACATAAAAAGGGGAAAGATACTGATCGTGATAAAGTGAAATACAGTGTCAAATGCCAGAATGGATTCTCTAGTAAGATCAAGAGCAGAGAGATCACTCAGTGTGGAAATTAAGATATTTTTAGTGGCTTTAATGAGGGTTCTTCTATTATGTGATAGGATCAAGGTCAGATAATAACACGTAACCATAATAGGACACAAGTGCCACCACTTAAGGGAAATTGTAGGGTATGCCATGAAATGTGAAGTGCAGGTGGCATTTGTCTGCTGGCTGTAGGCTAATAATAATTACTATTTTTTCTGAAGGACATTGTTAAAAAAGGTTTTCGAGACAAAGGGTAGACAAGAGGAGAGGAGAGAAAGAATAAAAAGAACAGAAAGAGGAGAAAAGGAATAAATATAGTAATAATGAAGTCATTGATGGGTAAGCATAGAAAAGACAAGTCAAAGGAAAAGGAGAAAGGAAGTATCAGAGATGCACAAAGGTAAAATAAAGGGACAGGCTCAGAGGTGTGTCGAATTTTGTACTAACCCTGCTGTTCATTAATAGTTATCAGTCCTGAGAATCTTATTTGTAAATAAAATGTTACTTTTCCATGACATTTGAGTATAAAATGATTCTGACTTTAAGTTTTGTTTTATAAATTTTCCATTTTTCATAAATCTATTGGCCTTGTCTGAACTCTCATTCTATATTTATACATTGCTTTATCTTTGTTATTGAAACAGAACTAAATTTCTCTAGAAATCTTGCTGGTTTTATTTGAGAGCACTTTATTCTCTACCAGTTTTTTGTTTGTTTGTTTGTTTCTAGTGAAATAAATTTAACCAAAGACTGAATTGTGATACAAAAAAATACATGAAACAAAAGTCAGAAATTACTTTAGACTTTTATATGGAATGGATTTCATTCTATGCAATCACGAATAAAAAAATAAAAGATTTCCAATCTGGCCTGGCCTGGTGGTAGAGAGGTTAAGCTCTGCGTATAGGGAGCCATATCCCACATGGCCGACCAGGGTTCAAATCACAGTCATGGCAGATTGAAAGATATACCAGATGTGTGTGCGAGTATGCCTGAAAGTCTGACAAAATGGAGGCATAGAGAGAAAAAGGAGTGTGACATCACCCATCCCATTGGGATGGCCTTTCTTTTTCTCTCTTTCTCTATATCTGGTGAGTCTATGTGCCGTCTGACAATAAGAAAAGGAAAATTTTTCAAATTCCATTTGTGTGTGTGTTATTTTTTAAATCATTAATGCTGGAAAAGAGAGGGAAGGTTCATTTTTCAAATTCATGATTATATGTATATTTGTGTATATATATATATATATATACACACACACATATATATGTGGAACATATGTATTTCTAAATATATTCAACACCATATTTCTATGTCATATATCTGACAAATAATATTATATTTATATCTATATATACATATATAATCAATGAAATTAATGTCAGAAGTGGGGAGGTTATAGAAGAGTTAATATTTGGACCAGCGGGTGGCATGGTGGTTAGGGTGCTGGATGCTCCCACATGGCTGACCACGGTTCAAATCCTGGACCTGGTGGCTTGCTTTCTCACCTTCTCTCTCTCTCTGTCTGTGTGTGTCTCTCTGGTCAAAATAAAAATGAATGAATGAATAAATAAAGTTAAATAAATAATTTTTAAAAATAAAATGTTTAAAAAAAAGAGTTAATATTTAATTGACAGCCCTTGAAAGTTTTAATCAGAGAATGTGATTACACAGAATAAATATTTATTATCAAAATAGTTAGAAACACTTTTTATCTAAACATCATTATGATTTGAATATTTATACCATTTTAAAATATTTTACATTCTAGTTCACCAGAACTTATCTTACAAAGTCATTGTTGTTAGGTTAACAAAATAATAAATCATTGTTAAGGGGAACAATTTATTTTATAGCTATTTGTTTATCCAGAGCTAAGTCATAAAAGTAAAATGATGATTACTCACTCTTTTTTGCTCCATTTAGCCCTGGCAACTTTGGTGGTCTGTAATTGAAATCTAAGTAATTATAATGATATATAAATAGATTATAAATTATATATAATTATAAATTAAATGGTATTTTAAACTTTAAGAAGAATAACGTATAAAATAATTTTTCTCTTATCAACATCTTATTAGAAATTGTAGAGACCTTTTAAAACTGGTAGGTTTCTAAAGCAAAAAATTTATATATATAATTGCATAAGAATGACAACACAGGTAGAAATTCCTCGCACAGTGCTTCACTTTAGAGGCTTCGTTTCCTAATGCAGGAAAATGCTGTCTATATAAATTTGCTTTCAACACAAGCATCAACCAATTGCCAGAAGAAGAAGGTGTGGAAAACTGAAATTCCCCAAAGAATAGCTAAGGATTCCCTGTTGGACAAAGGAAAGAGCTTCAACTGGGTATTGTGGATTTGGATATGCATAAAAAAATCTAGGTCATCTCACAGGGCATTACAGACTTCAGAATCATAAACATCAAGTGACTATAGATGTTTCTATAGTTCTAACAACTGAAATTTATTTTTGTGCTGCCATTTGTCATAAATGGTAACACTTACGGTATTTAATACAAACTTTAGTTTATATATATAATTTGATGCTCTAAGTGCTTTCATTTGTATGGTCTTGACAGAGGTAAACAAAACACATGCTTTCACTAAAGCCAAAGATATACAGTACTGGGGGCCAGCCAGTGGTATGGTAGTTACCATATGGATGGATGCCACATGGCCAACTATATAGTTAAGTGCCAAATCCATCAGCTTGAAGAACATACCAGGCACATATATGTGCATGGCCAAAATCCTGAGAGGAGAAAGGAGGAGAAGGGATTACTGCATGACGATCCCTTCTAGGGGGTGCTTTCTCGCTTTCTCTGCCCATCTCTCTTCAGCAAGTTCACACATTACACACACACACACACACACACACATACACATACATATGCATAGGTATGTATCCCTTTCAGGACACAACTCGAAGTTGTTCTCATGCAAACTTTAGTTTGAATTCCAGACATATACTAGGCTCCCCCACTTTCAGCTGAAATTTGATGGGAAGTCATAATAGGAAAAGATCAGGGAGAAGAGCAAAAGAAAACCAAAGACAAAATGATCAGACGGAGGTGCAGCAGTAATACAAAGCTCTGTGAGGCTAACACACATGGGAAGGTCCCAGGTTTACAACTCGAGAGCTCCCTGAAAAATCCAGGCATGTGGATGCCCATGATTTGAAACTGGCAGAAGATAGGTGTGGATTGTGACATGGGGACCCCATTAAAGGGTACCTCTCTCTTTTTCTCTTTCTTTCATCCTCTCTCCCTCTGTCTCTTATTCATGAGAGAAGAGTGAATGAACAAAAGAAGAGGCTACAGTTAGAGGTAGCCTGCATTTGTGCTTCCCAAACTACAGTGCCCATGAATTCCCTGGAGATCTTGTTAAATGCAGATTATCTTATAGCAGTTCTTGAGTGGATATCCAGGTCTTCATTTTTCACAGGAAGTGGCAGTGGACACTTGCCACCCATAGGACCTTGGTTCTCAGAAAGTGTAGAGTATCAGACAGCTGAGATTCCCTGAAGAGACAAAAATCTTGTGTGACTGATTTGCAAACAGAAGCAGAAAGGGGCCAGGATAAGACAAGGGGGTTCACATGGGACCTGGTAGGGCCAGGCTTTGTTCTTTACAACAAAGGGAAAGATCTGAAGGATACCATATAGGATGGTAACATATTCAGGCTTTTCTTTGAGTGTTAACAGAAAAAATTGTCAATGAACATCTGATCAAAAAATAAAACTTGATTTACTTATTTGTGACATGTA